CTCCTCCTCCTCCTCCATATATTTTCCTTTTCTTTTCTTTTCCCTTTGGTAATTAGCCCTTTCATTGTATTTCTTGTCGACTCATCTTGATTATAATAGACTTTTAAAAAAAAAACATTTCCTCTTTCATGATAATTTTACCATTCCTTTTTGGCACTGTTTTTTCTTTTCTTCCTTAAATAAGGTCGGAGAATGTTTTATTTATTTATTTACATTAAATGCTTATTCTGTTCCCTCACTCTTTCTGCTTACACCTCCCTTACTCTCTCTCTATCATGTTATTGTTTCCCTGTTCCTCCTCAACTCACTCTCACCCTCTCTTTTTATTCTCTTCTCTCACCCTCTCTTTTTATTCTCTTCTCTCACCCTCTCTTTTTATTCTCTTCTCTCACCCTCTCTTTTTATTCTCTTCTCTCACCTCTCTTTTATTCTTTCTCTCATTCTCTTTTTATTCTCTTCCTCTCCCTATTCTTTTATTCTCTTCTCACCCTCTCTTTTTATTCTCTTCTCTCACCCTCTTTTTTATTCTCTTCTCTCACCCTCTCTTTTTATTCTCTTCTCTCTTTTTTTATTCTCTTCTCTTTTATTCTCTCTCTTTTTTTATTCTCTTCTCTCTTTTTATTCTCTTCTCTCACCCTCTCTTTTTATTCTCTTCCCTCACCCTCTCTTTTTATCCTCTTCCCTCACCCTCTCTTTTTATCCTCTTCCCTCACCCTCTCTTTTTATCCTCTTCTCTCACGCTCTCTTTTTATTCTCTTCTCTCACCCTCTCTTTTTATTCTCTTCTCTCACTCTTTCTGCTTACTCTCTCCAAATTTATCTCTCTCTATCATTATTGTATTCTTATTCCTTCTCTCTTTCTTCCAATCTTTGTTTCTCTTCTCTCACCCTTTCTGCTCACCTCCCTGAATTTATCTCTCTTTTTATCTCTCTCTCTTTCTCTTTATTAAGGTTTTCATGTTCATCTATCAATCTCTTTTTCTCTCCCCTTCTATTACTCTTTCTGTTTACCACTCCTTTATCTTGCTATAGTTCCTTTCTCTCTGTTTACCTTATTCTGTCTTCATCTTCCTCCTTATCTATTTCTTTCTCCATATCTTGTCTTTTTCCCTTTTTCTAATTCTCTTTCTCTTTGTATTTCTTGTTGACTCCTCTCTCATATAAAAGCCTTCGAAAGATTTCCTCTTTCATGATAAATTTACTTTTTTTTTTTTTTTCTTTCTTTCTGTCATCATATGTCTTCCAGACTCTTAAATGACAATTCATATATTGAACCTTTCATCTCTACCAAATTCTCAGTTCCTACCACTACCAACAATTTTGGTGACAGTCTGCACATTTTTTCCCCCTGAATAAGGTGGGAGGGTCTTTTATTTATTTCCTCCTTTTCCAGGAGAAACTTCTACCTTTTAAATCAAAAAAAAAAATATATATAATTTGGTGACAATTTAATGGGAGTTTCAGAGGGAAAAAATTCCTGTTTTTATATTTATTTATTTTCTTGATGGAATGTTGCATCTGCAATTTTATGAGAACAATTAACAGGCAGATGTTTTGTTTGTCCCAAAAAGGATTGAGATGTGGAATAGGATAGTGGGAGGGTCAGAACAAGAACAATAACGGAAGAGATATGACAGGAAATGAGTGGTGGGCTCGCCACCATCCCCACAAAACATCCTTGCCAAATTTCATCTATTAACAAATAAAAAAGAGGGGCATCCTACAACAAAAACCTTTTTTGTATTCACTAATCTTAAGATTAAAGAGATCCTCCTTTAACAAGCTAAGATGGAATCTTGAACCCAGAATTTGATCTTTACAGAACCTACAAATCTCTTATTCTCACCAAACCCATAGTGCATTTGTGTACTTGTAAAATTCACAATAGCCAAAGAAGAGCCGAGTTCCAATTTCAGTTGGGTTTGTTATATTCACTTAATTGCATATATTCTTGGGAAAGATATGAATTCACCTCTTCTCCTCCAGTTATGGATCAAGACTAGTATCTCTAAATCATTATTTTCTCTCCCCACCACCAAATTCTTACAATCTAAAAATATTTTCTGGCATTAAATAAAATTCAATGGGTTGATAAGCTGCTGAAAATGAATCAATGATTGATGTACTGATTAATTACGCAGTCATATCTTTTATATTTATGTATGTTCTCTGGACACTTAAGGTGGAAAATATAAAATGTTAAACAATTTTTTTTAAAAAGTCACTCATTTGTTATCTCTTTTTTTTTTAGTCTCAAACAACACCAGCTTGGGAAAAATAAATGGGAAAATTTAATTATTTTAAACACACACAAATGCATACACACACATCACATTTTTCGTTATCCATCTGTTGGAGCCATTATAGGCAAAATGCATTATCGGATATTATTTTTAAAACATACTTCCATGAACGTTTTTCCAAATGTCAATAACTTATAATTCTGTTGGGATTCAGTCAGTCAATAAATTTTATTAATATTAATTTTCTCTTCCCACCCTTACATTCCAACTACACTTGTGTTATTCCTCCTCTTCAATGGTAATCCTCACTGAGAATGTTCAAAAAATAAAGAAAGCATTCATTATTAACATCCACTGCCTGAAGAAACCTTAATGGTGGAAACCATGGTAGCATGAGTGGTTAGTATTCCTTGACTTTAAGATATATAATTTATTTGATGGAATTATATATTAGTATTAACCTCCACTGCTGGTAGAAACCATAGTAACATAAGTGGTTAATATTCCTTGACTTTGGTATTTAATAGCTCTGTACATTCGGTTTTTTCTTTTTGACATTGTGTATTAAGCACACTATTATATAACCATGTTCTGGAACAATCTAACTTTGACCAGAAAAAAACTATTTTATATATATATATATATATATATATATATATAATATAAAAGGCTCAAACACTAATATTCCATGGTTATAATTTATTTCATTGGAATCGTAATCACAATCCAATTCATCACACCTAAAAATTCAAAAAGAAATCGGAAAATATTTTCCCATTTCTTTTGAATTTGTAGGTGTGATGAATTGGGTCGTGATTATGATTCCAATGTAATAAATTATAACCATGGAATATTAGTGTTTGAGCCTTTTATATTATATTCTTCCTTTGTCCTGGACATTGAGTTCTACTTGGATTCTATCCTCTTGGGAATTCAGTTATATATATATATATATATATATATATATATTGGCCACTAATATTATCAGTGTGTGTATATATATATATATATATATATTGACCACTAATATTATCAGTATGTGTGTGTGTGTGTGTATATATATATATATATATATATATATATATATATATAGACCATTAATATTATCAGTGTGTGTATATATATATATATATATATATATATATATATTGACCACTAATATTATCAGTGTATATATATATATATATATATATATATATATATATATATATATATATATATATAAATGTGTAGTTAAATGCCGTATCTACTCATGAACAAGTATATGCTAAAAATAATATTTGAAGTGATAAAAATGTCAGATGAAAAAAATGAATTAATTGGTTTTGTAACCATCATCCAGTTATGCGCCATGCATGTTACACACTTAGGTGATCATGTATCTTTCAATACATGACTGACGAGGCAGATTTTTTACCGCAGTAGATTGCCATGTCTTTCTGCAGTAGACCAGTTGCCATCCAAGGCTATAGAACCCAGTCTGTCCTGCAATTTACCCATAATGTTCTTGTCTAAATGAACAGTCAGTTATGTGACATGGGTGATACCTGCTTAGGCGGTCCTGTATCTTTTAATACATGACTGACGAAGCAAATTTTTCCCACAGTAGGTTGCCATTTCTTTCTGCGGTAGACTAGTTGCCATTTAAAGCTATAGAACAGAATCTAACCTACTATTTACCCATTCCTAAACAACCCCCAATACTGATTACTCAATCCAACTAAAAATAATATCGGTAAAATTAGCAAAAAATCCTTGAAAGAGTATGCAAATACACAAAAGATGTTCTAAGAATTAGCCAGTGGTATAAAACAGCTGAAGCCATAGAATGGTTTTACTAATATAAAAAGGAAGAATAAATGTAGATCCATCCAATTCAATATTTGTGATTTTTACCAATCAATCAATGAGAATCTGCTAATGTCTGCTAGAAATTTAGCAAAAACTTACTGTCCTGTTAGCAATCTTGAAATCAAAATCATAAAGCAGCTACAAAAACCTATATTATTCCATAATGGTTATCTGTGAACCAAATGAAATAGCCTAGACTTTAATATTGTTATAAGAGCATATGACTCAGCAGAGACATGTGAAATTGTTAGAATTTTGATATTGTGGTGGCTAAGATTTTTTTTTGACATTAAAGATTCAGACTTTATAAAGATGGTGGTGTAATTCTCCTTCATAAAACTATATAGACCAATTGAGAAAGGTACTGACAAATTTTTTCAAAGATTCCAAGCTAAATATTACCACTACAAATCAATACTAACGTAATCAACTTTCTCAATGTGACCTAGGATTTGAATAATGGTTATTACAAACCATATTGGTGTTAAAATGATTATAACAATTTTTAATAATACCTTAAAAATTGTTATACCCATCTATTATGGGACCTTACCCATAATAACATAATGGACTATTCCATACGTAATAAATACTGTGCCTCAAGAGGAAACAGGGATTTCAGTCCGAAATCGGGTGTCTGGCTGACCGGCTGATTGGTTGAACTCTCTGCCTTCGGGCAGGGAGGAACCCGAATGAGGCTACGCTGAAGGGCGGAGTCTCTTTCGGGGAGGTAAACCGACTCTGAACCCATTTATACGGGTTCAAAGGCATATTTTTGGCTGAGCCCATGGGCTCAGAGATCCCACGTTAAACCAGCCATGTGCCACATGATGCCCTCGTGTGGGGGTGACTAAATACCATTCAGTCTGAAGTCGGACGACTGGTTGATCGGTTGAACTCTCTACCT